TCCTGCTGCACACTGGCCACTCTAGTTTCGCCTTGCGCCCATCTTGTCAGCCGAGGTGGAAGTCTGCCATAAACGACCTCAAATGGTGTCTTATCTGTTGATGCATGGTAAGTAGTGTTATACCAGTACTCAGCCCAATGAATCCATGTCACCCAAGTCCTTGGCTGATCAGCTATAAAACATCTCAGATAAGTTTCCAGACATCTATTTACCACTTCTGTTTGGCCATCAGATTCTGGATGGTAGGCTGTACTCATCTTGAGTTTGGTTCCTTGCAACTTGAATATTTCCCTCCAGAAGTTACTCATGAAGATAGGGTCCCTGTCACTTACTATTGATAAAGGAATGCCATGTAATTTGACTATTTCCTTACAGAAAATTTCTACTATACTTCGGGCTGTATAGGGATGTTTCAAGGGTATAAAGTGTGCATATTTAGATAATCTATCCACTACTACCAATATAGCTTCAAACTGTTTGGACTTAGACAAACCTGTGATGAAGTCTAAGGATATATCCTCCCATGCCTGTTCTGGAATAGGGAGTGGTTGCAGCAAACCACCTGGAGATGATGCCATGTATTTTTGTCTTTGACATGTATCACATTGTCTAACAAATTCTTGTATAGTTCTTTTCATACCTACCCAATATAGATTTGCAGCCATTCTCCTATATGTTTTGTAGAATCCTGAGTGCCCTCCTTGTGGTGTGGAATGAAACTCTTGTAATAGAGTAGGAATGAGTTGAGATTTGTTGGAAATTACCAATCTGTCGTCATAAAAAGGAACCCCTTGTTTATAATTGTATCCCGGCCAAGATGAAGGATCTTGTTGAACTTCTGCAATGATCCTTTGTAATTTCTCATCTTCTTGCACCTCTGCTTTGATTTGTTCTTCTTGTGCCCAAGTTACCAGAGATTTCATAGTATTCAATTCACTACCTTCATGCACCCTAGATAGTGCGTCAGCACCCTTGTTGAGCTTGCCCTGTTTATAAATAATCTCGAAATCATAACCCATCAGCTTTGCAGCCCAATTTTGCTGTTCTGCAGTTACTATTTTTTGCTGCATTAGTTGTTTGAGGCTTCTTTGATCCGTCGATACTACAAACTTCCTTCCTAGCAAATATGGCCTCCAATGTTGGATTGCCAGCACTACAGCCATTAGCTCCTTCTCATATGCGGACTTAGATAAATTTCTGATTCCCAAAGCCTTGCTAAAGTAAGCCACCAGTTTTTTGTCTTGCATCAGAATAGCCCCTATGCCCGTACCTGAGGCATCACACTCAATAACAAATTCTTTTGAAAAGTCTGGTAAGGCTAACACTGTGCGGTCGTAAGCCTCTGCTTCAATATGTCGAACGCTGCTTGAGCCTTCTCGTTCCACTTAAAACCATCTTTCTTAGTTAATTCTGTTAAAGGTTTGACAATTTTTCCATAATCTCTGATGAACTTCCGATAATAACCTGTCAGCCCCAAAAACCCTCTAACTCCTTTAACATTCTTGGGTTGAGGCCATTGAAGCACACCAACCACTTTATTAGGGTCAACAGCTACTCCATTCTTTGTGATTACATGCCCCAAATACTCCACTGATTGTTGGCCAAAACTGCACTTCTTCTTGTTTACCACCAAACTGAGCCGACAGCAACTCCAATACCTCCTTAAGATGCTTCATATGATTTCCCCAGTCTTGGCTATAGATAAGAATGTCGTCAAAAAACACCAATACACTCTTTCGGAGTAATGATCTAAACACATCGTTCATGAGATTTTGGAACGTCGAATGGGCATTGGTAAGCCCAAACGGCATTACAAGGAACTCATAATGTCCTTCATGAGTCCTGAATGCAGTCTTCTCAACATCAGAATCCTTCACCCTTGGTGATAGCCCGACTTAAGATTCAACTTAGTAAAGAATTCCACACCATGTAACTCGTCTAATAATTCTTCAATCACAGGGATGGGGAATTTGTCGGGAATGGTTACCTTATTAAGTGCTCTATAATCAATGCACATCCTCCATGTGTTGTCCTTGTTTTTCACCAATATAACGGGAATAGAGAATGAACTCGTATTGTGGCGAATTATCTCGGCAGCCAACATCTCTTTAACTTGCCTTTCAATCTCATTTTTATGGTAATGGGGGTAGCGGTAAGGACGAACATTCACTGCTCCGTGTCCGTCGATGAGATTGATAGCGTGCTCCTTCTTCCGTCTGGGTGGTAGGCTCGAAGGTGTTTGGAAAATGTGAGCATACTTACCTAACACCTCCTCCAACTCCTGGTGTTGGTGTTCCGACAACACAGATTCGCAAGTTGTTTGGAAAACGTTCGCGTACTCACCCGACACCCACTCCAACTCCGGGTTTGGGCTTTCGGACCTAACGAATTCACAAACCCCCTCAATTCTCCACACGTCCCCATCTTTTTTGCACCCCCTTTGTTTCCAAGTGTTATCCACTTCCCTTGTTCCCAAAAACTCATAGTGTGTTGCTTCCAATTAATAATAGTATCACCCAAAGTTTTTAACCATTCAACGCCCAACACCACGTCAATACCCCTAATTCAAATAATTGCAAATTCTGCCTTAGTTTGTAACTTCCAATGTACATCTCCAGCTCTTTGCACCTTCCTCGCGCTTCTATTTGGACCCCATTCCCTAGTTTGACCTTCATTTGTGGAGTTTATTCAATGGGCCCCATGTGATGTACTAAACTTTGTGAAATGAAATTGTGGGATGCCCCACTATCCACCAAAATTAAGACTTCTACCCCTATGATTGTTCCTCGAAACTTCATGGTTTGATGGTTTTCATGGGCTATATGATGTAACTCCAATATACTCATTTCTCTGTGCTCCTCATCCTCCTCTTTCACCTACCTCCACAGCCAACACCTTGGCTTCTCCATCTTCATCACATCCATCATCCACCACTAACACTCTAAGGTGCATTGATGAGTAGGACCAAAAGATCCTTTACATTTGAAACATAATCCTTTTTTCTTTCTATCCATAAGTTCATTGTAAGAGAGGTGTGTAAACCCTCTATCACGAGGCCCAGCACGCCTCCTGTTACCTTGGGCCTGCCTGTCATTGTTTGGCCCATTCCTCATACTACCACTTGCACCCGTTCTCTATTTTTTACCATCACCCAATCTGACCCTCCCTTGCTTCCAACCGGTGACCCAACCGGTAAGGCCCATTTTTTGGCCCACGATTGAGTCCAACTCCACTCTTCCCTTTCACCTCCTTCTCTACGGCACGAGTTACCTGCAACAATTTCATTCTACTCATATCTTCCATGGTTGCCAGACTCCTAACTCTACCTTTAATCTCCGATTGCAACCCATGAAGAAAATAGCCTTGAAATTGCTTCTCCGGTAACCGCGGAATTTGAGCGATTAAGTATTCAAACTCTGTTATGTACTCTCCCACAGATCCTTCTTGCTTCAACTCAGTCAATACACATCTCCATCGCCATGTCCCCCCTTACCCGAAACTAAACCTCTGCTCGTGAAATCCAACCGGCAGGATCTTCACCGTCAAACGACGGAAGCTCCACCTTCTTCACTGAATGACGAAACTCAGTCAAGAAATCGGCGCGAGACCCATTTGAAACTTCGCCGGTCTTTTTCTCCGGTGGACCCAAGTTCTCCGATCCAGTTTTGTTCAACACACTCCCACTGCTCTCCTCTCTTACCGCCTTTTCCAGGTACTTTTCCAACATCGCAATTAAACTCTCGTAATTCTCCTTCACCTCTACCTGGAAATTTTCCAAGGTAAAATGTACCTCTGAAATCTCTCCTTCTAAAGCCGTCACCTTTGCCACTTATATCTAGGAAAGGAAATACTGTCATGCTATCTCTCTAATACACTTCACCTCATTTGTAACAACCTTAGCCACTGTTTCCCAATTTTCCCTTTCTTGTAGAATAAACCAATAACGGTCTAGCCCCACTAGTTGCTGAGTGAATTAATGGTTGATGTGGTGCTTCCTCATTTGTTTGGGTTCTATCAATCTACTTCATTGTTTGTGTTATTATATGGAAAGGTTTATGACATTGATATGCATTCTTCTCTTAGTTTTATAAAGATAATGAAAATTACTTTCCTTAGAGCCATCACGTGTGCTTGAAACCTCACTACAGCAAACATTTCAAGCTTTATCCAAGTCCCCTTTCATCACCAAATGTATTGCCTGAAACAAACCTTCCCAGTCCCAAAACAATCATTGCTGATCTTTCAATGTAACTGGCCTTCAGGTTTTGACAATTAGTGGGGTTGGTTGTTTATTTCAAAATTTGTCTATTTGGTTTCGTGCTCGGTTGTGCTTGAGAGATAGGAAGCGGCTACTACTGTAAAGAAGAACGCAGGGTCATGTGTTTGGCATTGGTGTCTATGATTTCACTATAAAATTACTTTTTAAATTTCTACCACCACACATCAGGTTATTGATATACAAATGTACTTGGTTGCAAGTTGTGAAATGGGCACACTTCAAGGATTAGTTTATAATTTCCCATAAAACTAATGGTTATCTCCATTAATTTAACTATAGACAAATTTAGTAGCTTTTCTCATTGGGACTCTTTGGAGCAGCTACAATCTTTGTCTGAATTTTTCAAAAGGAAAAGAAAACTATTATTCTATTTGTTTTATTTTTGTTCCTAAATAGATTTTCATAAAATGTAGGATGCTTTGGCTAAATTGTAAATAGAGTTAAATACTTTTAGTTCCTACAAAACTGCTGTCGTTTGTTTGTTGGGAATAAAAAACAAACCAAATTTGTTGGGACTAAACATACTTAACAGTTGTAAATATTAGTGAAGGAGAAAATGTGTTGTAATGTTATTAATTGATAATTTGAAAAAAATACAGAGGGTAGGTGGTTAAGGATTGGGATTACTTTTAAAATTTTCATTAATTGAAACTGCATGTTGGAGAAAATCATTGGGTTCACTTGCCTCTTCCTTGCTGTTTTATTTACAAGAGAATCCACCATGGAACCAACTTGTGCTGCTTGTGCCATGGAATGGAGCATCCAACTTGAGAAGGGTCTTCGTTCTGGTAAACCAGGTAAATGCCATTTCTCTCGTATGTTGTCCAATTTTGTTCATTTCTCATGCCTTTCAACACATTTTCTCTTTTACTCATATACCCGTATAACATGTGTATGACACGTGCAAACACCTCATTTGGTGTTCAGTTGAAATTTTTTATATCCTGACACGGCTTCAGCAAGAATGTGATACTCTTTTAATGGGAAGAGTCAACTTTTTTAATGATGTACTGTGCATTTTTTAAAGGTTTGTTGCAGTAGTTTGCTGTTCTGGATATTTAAAATTTTTTCCATCGTGTTTTTGATTGGTTGGATTTTGTTTCTAACTTCAATTATGTGAATTATCTAATTTCACCACTTATTATCTTTTATAAATTGCACTCATTAAATATATTTGTCTCTATAAAATACAAAATTTTCAAGTTTAGATCCTTTAAATTTTTAGTCCTTACATTTTAAAAAGAGTTGCTTATAGTCCTTAAAGAGGGACTTAAAACACTTATTTTTATAAAGGTTAAGGATTAACAGCACCAGTCGGGACTAAAAATTGATAAAATTTTTGAGACTAAAATAAAAAATGGATATTTTAGAGATTAAAAATACATTTAACTCTATTATTTTATCTTAATAGAATATATAATAATGCTAGAAGTACACATTTTAACACACTTTTCAACACTCGTTTATTTGTTAAATTTTATATGGGTCCCACAAATTTATATGAACCCATATGATTTGGTGAGATCAAAATATAAATTTTGATCAGCGAGAGTGTGTTGGAACATGTATGTTAAAGAGGGTGTTGTTAGCATTTTTTTAATATCTGTATTTATGTGTGATTGTGTGTGGTGCATTACATGTTTGTGTTGTATCCATTTTTCGTGTTTGGTTCTTCACCAAGTCTCATTCTTCATCAGGTGTACCTGTCAAAGCCATATTGCAAATGGGGCCCCACCTTCAGCGTTGGAGTAGAGAGCTTGAGTCTGGTATTGTTCCCAATGGAATGTTTGACCTTGTTCCAGGTGAAGGTGATCTATTTGCTAATACCATCCTCTTACGCCTTGCTGATGCCTTTAGGGGAGGCAACACAGAAATCAGGCTTTCTGTTGTCAGAGTTTTCTTGATCGAGCGAAAGCACCATGATAACAGGAAGCACAAGCAGTGTAACGGGTTGCTGTCGATGGCCAGAATAGCTAACCACTTGGAGTTGTTGAAGCGGGTAAAATCTGTTTTCAACAGTGGAGATTCAGAGTCCAAGTCACTGGCTCTAGTTCTGTTTGGTTGCTGGGCTGATTTTGCCAATGACAATGCTCAGATACGATACTTGATACTTTCCAGCCTTGTTTCTCCTCATGATTGTGAGGTAAGATTAGTGTCTTGTAGCGTTGCTGTTGTTCTAGATATCTATGTCTAAATAATTCCCTATAACATCTCTCATTCACATTCACACATTATTATGTGTGCATATATCATTATATTACTCTAAATAGCCAGCCATGTGTTTTATCTTTGTATTTTAAAAATTATGCAATTGACAAACTGCAACTTTAATTTAAGGTCTGAGGTTATATTGGAGTAGATTGATGATACTATTGGATATTGTGTTGTATTTTTCATTACATACACAAAGGTTGGTTATGTTGAAGTATTCTAATTTTCGTTTCTTAACTTCTTCCTCGTTAAGCCAAACTTCTTTGCAGACACTATGTTTTGGTTGATTATCCGCATCAATGCATATGATATATTGTGTTGGGTTTTTACAGGTAAGAGCATCATTGTTTGCTGCCGGTTGCTTTTGTGAGATATCCGATGATTTTGCATGTATTACATTGGAGATGCTGTTTAACATTATGAATTCACCTGCAGCATCCTTAACTATAAAATTGGCTGCAGCAAGAATTTTTGCAAAATTCAAGTGCTCGTATTCAGTGGCAAAGAAAGCATATAAGGTCGCTGCCTACCCTTTTTTTTTTTACTTGCGTGTTTGTTTCTTGGAACTATCACATATTTTTGTTTTCTTATTTCTTATGTGATGACTTATTTTACGCAGATAGGTTTGGAGCTAATATCAAATTCTTCAAATGAAGATATTCTTGTTATCATGCTATTCTCACTTTCAAAGTTGGTATCCATTTCTACACTTCTTACCTCCAATCATGTACGTGCATTTTTTTATTATACTATGATTTAGGCTTCAATTTTGCAGTTATATCATCATAACTAATCACGTGCTTTCTGTGTATAATAATTTTTGAATTGCTTGGAATCAGGTGGAGTTCCTTGTTTCATTCCTTGAACGACAATCAACTTCCCATGTACGAGAAACGGTCTTAAGATGCTTACATTTTTTATTCAGAAACAATCCATCTCTAAAGCTCTACAGCAATACATCCTTTGAAGTTCCAGATGGACAATCCATAGAACTCTCTCCATCTGAATATGAAGCTTGGAAAGGTGATTGGACAGATGATGAAATGCTTGAACTGAACAAATTGTTTTCAGATTCTGAAGTACTTAACTGTATAGTATAAGTTACTAATACACTTGGTCTTAGTATTGTCGATGTAAAGTTTTTATTTTTAAAAAAATTAAAATTTCAACTTCTCTAGCATATTTGAAATGCAGGCTGTATTTATTTGGTTGATCCGGCTTGCACCATTATTATATAAATTAAGTTGCTAACACTTAGTATTACTATTGCTGTCTCTTAGATTATCTTAGATTGGTGGTGCCATTTTAATTGAGATTCCTGGAAGTATAAATCTAGTTTAGTTTTCTTTCTTTTTTTCTTTTGATGCCTTAATGTTTCAGTTGGTTTTAAAAAAAAATCTAAATAGACCACTATGCTCCTTAGTCTAACAAACACTTATTGTCCTCTATCAAATGGAGAATTTTTAAAGTTCATTCAAAACATCTCCAATTTAAAGTATTTAATAAACGATTAATTAAATATAATAAAATAAATTGGCATTCAGTAATTTATTGTTAGATATTATATCATATCTTTTGTGGTGGATATTCCTTGCTGTATTCCAACTTCATTATTTGGGTCAAATATACAATTTCATCCAATAACAGTACACTTTGAAAACATAGAAATACTTACCTTGATACAATTCTGAATAAAAAAAAGTTTGGATATTCTGACATTAATAATAAAATCAGTTAAAATACGGTTGTGGTCAAGACTGTAAATGAGTTGAGTCGAATCGAATTCACTTTAATCTGGTTTGACACGTTAAGAATTAGTTATGTTTAAATTTTGGTTCAAGTTTGACATTATTTTTTTAAACTCAAGCTCGAATCATTATAAATTCACGAACAATTCAGTTTAACTCGTTAGATTCATTTTATTAGGTTCACTGACTTGCTTCACGAATTTAAAATCTATTTTTTAAATTTATATTTTTTTTTTATATTTGACATTTTAGATTAATATTTAACAAAAAAGAAAATGTTGAAATAAAATAAAAGTTAGTCTCTTAACTAAAAAACGTTACACGTTTATTCCTTAACTTCACTTTTGTTATCCTATTTGGTCATTTCCGTCAATTTCTAGCAAAAAAAAAAAATTAAGTTTTGGTGACGTTACGTGACAGCAAGGTCATTGATACAAATCAAAGTCAACCTATGTAGTTAAAAACTGATACACTATTTAAACTGTAAGGTTCTCTAAAAGCAAAACCCCAGCCGTTTAAATAGCGTATCTATTTTTAACTACATATGCTTATTCAAATTGTACCAATGACCTTACCATCACACCACGTCACCAGAACTTAACGTTTTTTTTTTTTGAGATTGTCAGAACGACTAAATTGGGTAACGAAAGTGAAGTTAAAGGACTAACTTGTAACGTTTTTTAATTACAGGACTAAAGCGAAACATTGAATTAAATTAAGAGACTTGGTGACTAATTCTCATATTGGAATTTAACTTTGTCTAAAAAATCTACTAATTTAAAAGTTTCAAGAGATACATTTGAAAGTCTAATTAAAAAACTGTTCAATTGGAGTTTAGATTTGTCTAAAAAATTCACAACTTCGTCTAAATATTTAGGAACCTTGCCAATTTAATGAAATAATACACCAAAAATTACTAGAAATTAATACATTTTCATGACAAAATGATTACACCACTTGCAACCTTCGTTACACATGTTATTTTCGCAAATGCCATAATGCCTCCAACAAGGATGACTTTAAATACAATGTTCAACTTTACTGCCACAACGAGTATGGAAGGGCCAATATATGGTTAAGATTTGGAGTAAATATTTAAACTTACTCTTAAAGATAATATAATCTTTCTCATACATAATCGATTTGACCTATAAACCCAACGAGTCGAACTATGTATAGTTCAATTTCAGCTCATTTAGTTAACGAACTTAGTTTTTTGCTCATATTTAACTCATTTGGTTCATGAACCTAATTCAACGATTTAATTGTCGGACCGAGAACTATTTTTGAGTTGGTTCGGTTCACTGTCAGCCTTATTTGCGATTCTCATAAATATCTCAAATTTCATTTTTAGTCCCTCAAAATATTTTCTTCAAAGAATGGTCCTCCTAAAATTTTTAATCAATACTTTTGGTCTTTAATGTTAAAATTGTCACTAATTCAGTCGCTAAGTAAGAAACTGTAACTACTTCTGTCGTTAAATTGTAAAATCCGCCGCTAAGTTGCATGAGAATCAAAAGTGTGGATATATTTTTTTAAGAGGACCACAAACTTATTTAACTTTAAAATCAAATGATTTGATATTTATTTATTCGTAAGTGTCTAAATATTTTTATTTAAAATTGTACTTGTGTAAAACACGTCTTTTTAAAATAATGATAATGATTTTTTTTATAATAATAACTAAAAATCCACACAACTATGAGGTTCAATATTCAAATTTTGGTGATAGTGTTCCACTAAAAAAAATGGGCTTTTGCCAAATAAATTTACAGAAAATATAAATTTTTACGTATTATTTAATTAATAATGTTAAAAACAATTCTTTGTTGGTAAAAGTTACTACCATGGTAGTTAAAACCGGATTAGACTGGTCGATCCAAATAGTCCTAAAAATTGACATGAAATAAAGTCGAAATATAAACTAAGAGTTCAGAGAAAATCCATAGTTTAGTTGGTTTACCAGTTGAATGTGTTTCTCATGTTATAATCCACAGTAGCAAAAAAAAAAAGAAAGTAGATCTTCTTCATTTTCATCTTGATGCTCAATTCTCTTAATGAAGCTCGAATCAAAAGTTGGAACGGAAAATGATACAGAGAAGAAATAGAGTGGAGAAGCACATATATGAGAAGTAAAAAGAGATCTTGTTGTCAATGCATAACTAATGAAATAAGGATAAAAGAGTTGTGACCCATAAAAGTAGTCTATTAGTTTTCCACTCCAAACCTCCTTAGTTATCTTCATCATCAAGTTCCACCTCAATAAGCTCAAATAATTTAGGTGACAAGCACAACAATAAAAAACATTGCTCCACAATGGATTTGTCCTCCACCATCCAAAATGAATAGAGTTTTTGTTTCAAACACAACATATGAGTCAAGGACTTGATCATATACAATGATTCAAGTTTGAATCACATCTCCGGCACAATCCTCTCTCTCTCTCTCTCTCTCTCTCTCTCTCTCTCTCTCTCTCTCTCTCTCTCTCTCTCTCTCTCTCTCTCTCTCACAACTTTCCTTAGAAATTTATCTTTGAGGCACAAGATAATGACATCAAGACATCACTTTTAAATGTCTCCACACACTTTTGTTGATGCAAAATTGCTCGTATATGCACCTTCCATAATCTAAAATTGTTCTATCCATATTTTATTTTGATATCCCATTTAGAACTCGTACCGAAATATTTTTATTAAATTGTCTTACACTAAGTTAAAAGACAACAAGAGGCCCGCAAAGAGGCGAAATGTGTCAAACTACATTATGAGTATCAAAATACAAGATGAGCATAAAGATAAATCTTAAAAGCATAGATTTATCAAGAGAGATTGCTAGGAAGGTCATAAGGCTTGGTAGATACAAAACTATATTTTAATTAGTTATTTTAAGGGTTGATTAAATAATGCGAGACATTGTCGCTTCTGCTTGTATAATTTCTTTAAGGACTCTTTAACTTATGCTTTGAATAATGGGGTGTCACTCTTTTCCCCTGCACAGATAGGGGTTTTAGTGAGACACCCCTCTCTTTTTTAGTTGTATGGATTGTGAAAGATGTAGGTTAAATGATGGAGTAATTCTTACGCAATTGAAGATGATGGATCCTCATCAAGGATTCCTTGCTAGTCACGAGGCTATTGAAGATGCTAGATCCTCATTGAGGATTCATTGTTGTCCGCGAGACTATTGAAGATGCTAGAACCTCATTGAGGAATCCTTGCCTCCCTCATAGACAATGTAAATGCTAGATCCTCATTGAGGAATCCTTTCCTCCCATGAGGCTGTTGAAGATGATGAATCCTCATTGATAAATCCTTGTCACCCTAAAAGGAAATATAAATCTTGGATCCTCATCGAGGAATCCTTTCTGCCCACGAGGATGTTGAAAATATCGAGACCTCATTAAGGAATCATTTCCTCCCTTAAAGGAGATATAAATGTTGGATCATCATCAAGGAATCCTTTCCTCCCACGAGGATATTAATATACTAGAACTTCACTTAAGGATCCTTTTTGTCCATGAGACTATCAAAGATGCAAGAACTTCACTGAAGGATCATTGTCTCCCACGAGGATATTAAAGATGATGAACCTTCACTGAAAGATCCTTTCCACCCCTCAAGGGCTATTAAATAGAATGGACCTTCATTGAAGGATCCTTACCCCCACCCCCTAGAGGCAATACAAATGCTAGGTATTCATTAAAAGATCCTCGCCAAGAGAAATTCAAACAATGCTTGAGGGACTCGCCCATCAAGATTTTATTCAGTCAAGGCGACATGAAAGGCCAACACCACAAAAGTGATCACAAAAATCCAAATAACATGACAAGAATCACCACGATATCTAAAATTTTCATTAATAAACCCCGAAGGGCGTGGTTGCGAAAGAACCTCTAAAAGGGCAACAAAAACAAAAATTGAACTCTCTCCAAACAATAATTGAAAAACTTGCCCTCTAAGTCTTGCTTGAGGGACTCGACTATCAATATCCCGCTAAAGTAGAATCAACTTGTCCACATGAAAGGCTTGAGGGACTCACCCAATGAGAAAATTTATCATATAAGGGCAACATAAAGGAATATTCCTCAAAACTAATTAAAATTATGAAGAAAGAAATCCAAAGAAAATAAGAAAAATCACCACAAGGTCAGAATGTAAGACCCTGAAGTTCGGTGTTACATAGCCCCATTAATAAGGCAATGAAATAAATAGTACAAAAGTAATTGCCTAAGAGTTGTACAAACTCGTCTTTACAAGTCTTACCTGAGGGACTTAACTTAAAGTCTCATATGAGAAACTAAACTTAAAGTCTCGTTTGAGGAACTCAACATAAAGTATTGCCCGAGGGAATCA